CTGCTGAGTGGAGGAACACCAGAGTCTGTGGCCTGAACTTTAAACTGGAACGTCTTTAACTCCTCATAGTTAAAAGACTGAAGGGTGATTATATCCCCAGTCTCTGAGTTGATGTTTAATAATGTAGACAGTGCGACTGAGTTAATTTTGCTTTCCATAAAACTGTAAGTCACTTCACCATTTATGTTCATATCTGCATCAAAGGCGGTTACCGTTTTAAGAATTGTCCCCACGTGGCAGTTTTCTTTAACATAAATGTTAAGTATCGATGACGAGAACTGAGGCGCGTTATCATTAACATCAGAAACTTGAATAGGGACAATAATGGTGTTTGAGAGCGGGGGACTACCGCCATCGCTTGCTATTATGGTGACGTCGTAGCTAGAGACAGTCTCTCGGTCTAAGGGGGCAACCACTATCAATGAGTAATAATTTTTATAGTTTGCTTCCAATTTAAAGGGAGCATCTTCATCTACAGTACAATGCACTTCACCGTTCTTACCGCCATCTTTGTCTACCACTGAAACAAGTGCAACAGCGGTGCCTGCTTTTGCATCTTCTTTCACAGTATTCAGTAGTGACGTCACAAAAATCTCAGGCGCATTGTCGTTTAGGTCCAACACTTCAACCAGCACCTTACAATGAGCGGACATCGGAGGTTGGCCTTTATCACTGGCCTGTGCACGAATCTCAAAGACTGGGTATTCCTCAAAATCCACATTTCCTTCCACCGTCAGTGTGCCCGTGTTCGGATCGATTTTAAAAATCTGCAGCACGTGGTCCTGCTCCTTTGTGCTAAGTGTATATATGATTTCTTTGTTTGTTCCTTCATCTGCATCTGTAGCATTTAAAGTCAGGACTGTAGTGCCTATCGGTACGTTTTCAAACACACGCACTTTATACAGCGACTTTGCAAACACTGGTGTGTTATCATTAATGTCTAAAACATTGATCATAATATCTGATGTTCCAGACTTCGGTGGACTTCCATCATCTAAGGCTGTTAACGTGAGCTTAATCAGAGGTTCCTTTTCTCTGTCTAAGACTTTCTGTAACATTAGCTCAGTCGAAATACTCTCACCTGATTTGCTTATTGCTAATGAAAAATGTTCATTCGAGCTCAGCCTGTATGTGTTGATGCCGTTCTTTCCAACATCTGCATCGTAGGCCTGCAGTAGGGGGAATTTTATCCCGGGTAATGTGCTTTCGGGAATGTCTATATTCTGTGATTTTGCAATGAAATGCGGAAAATTGTCATTGACATCAAGAATATTAATCTCTATACGGTACAGCATTAAAGGTTCATTTATCACAGCCTCGACAGTTACGGCACATCTCACAGCTTTCCCGCAGAGCTTCTCTCTGTCTATTCTCTCATTCACGTAGAGGACTCCAGTCTTCGTATTTACCTCGAAATATTTTCTTTTAGATCCTCCAACAATCCTGAACATACGGGTCTCCAAATCCGGTATGTTTAAATGTAAATCCTTGGCAATATTTCCAACAACTGTTCCCGAGTTTACCTCCTCTGAGACGGAATAAGAGAGCTGCCCAGACGCTTCATTACAACAATAATCCAGTATCAGAAGTATTAAGTATATCAACGAAAAGCAGTTGCGACACGATAAAGGCATAATTCCGTTCAGCACAACACGGCATACATTCGAATTTGAAATTCCTATAAAAAATTCGAACAAATGTAGTACATATACCACCAATTTTCAGACCAGACGGGTGGCTGTCGCAATGTACCCACACCTACTACTCTCTTTGTTACAACACCGTGTGGACTGTCTCTGGGAGGAGCGTTAAACACAAAACGGAAGCTGTTGTGTTACGGTCTATACCGTCTCCTTGTGGTGACTGTGATTATCCACACCTACTGGCTCATGAAAAAGAACAAAATTGATATAATTTTTCTTTCTGCGATACAAAGATAGTTACGAGTGCATTACAGCTTACAAAGAGACAACCCAGAGAAAGCCCAGATGCTCAATCAATGAGATGATCGCAAAACTAAACTAGCTGTCGTTTCAGGACCATGGAGAGCACCGTTTGACTTTTCATCTGGATGGAAGAGACTATATGCTGTGTAGTTAAAGGAAAGTAGCTAAAGTATAATGAATAGTAAAATATAAAATCAGACAAAAATAATGGAGCAAAGGTATAATATCTCGCACATTTCTGTTGCACAAATGAATTTAAAGGTACAGAATTTCTAACAACAGTGATTAAAAAAATAATGAAACAGTCAAGACCACTCCTAAGTCAGTTGTTAAATATTTTCTGTTAAAAACAGTAACTGAAAAGCATCACGCTATGGAAACTGATGCAATCACGACCAAGAAAAGGGATCTGTAGATTTTATGGACTCACCTTATCTTTGTTAGGTAAAGTCTGAGTCCTGGTAAAAGTGTCTCCTCCGTTAATACTGATCAGTTCTCCATCTACAGGTGGAAACGAGGCGGGGAAAACTACTACGTCACTCTTGAGTGTGTCTGAGCTGAAACACACGTCATACTGCTGAGTAGCTTTAGAGTAAGACCAGCTCCC